CTTCTACAGCAGTGTATTTTGTTGTTGCTAAGATTAGATATTGTTATAAAGACAGTAAGTCAGCATGTTAAAAGGGCTTCCAAAGTACAGAGGGTTGTTAAAGCAATGGACAGAAGCCAGGCAGATCGAGAGCTGGGCAACCACCTCAATTTGACTCAGTTGACCGGAAAGGGGCCGGGAAGGCCAGGCCACAAAGCGCAGGTCACCCCTTCCACTCTGAACCTATCGCGTCCTGCCAGGTGTTTGTGGCAAAAGGTGGATAGCAGAGATGCCCATTAGGATACAGGACCTGAAGTGTGGTGAGGAAAAGGCCAGAGGGTGTCAGGGATATTGGGGGGGGGGCGGTCGGGGGGGACTTTACACTATGGGAAAATCTGGACAGGTGAGAGAAGAGATGGAAAATCTGGACAGGTGAGAGAAGAGATGGCCGTCTGCATGTAGGGACTAAACAGTGCGAGTTTCCTGAGAAGGCAGGGGTGAGAAAGCCAAAGCGCTGCTGGAGGAGGAGGTCTCAGAGGGAGGCGCCTCCAGGAGAGAGGGTGGCTGCAGACAGAGCGAGAAGCTCAGAGACAGGATGGCTACAGAGGCAAAGGGTGCCTTTCTGATGCAACCTTTTTCCCAGGGCAGGATTAGATCCTTGTGAAAGTCTAAGCAGAGAATGTGGAAATACTGTGACAGATGATAGCTAACCATCAACCCCAGAGAGGGGAGGAGGCTCAGAGTGCATCAGGGCAGGGAGACAATTCTAGGCAGTGTGGCTGAGCCAGGAAACCGGGCTCCCACGTTCAAACCACGGAGTAACTCAAAGACTGCAGGGAGGAGACAAGCTTAGCTGCAGCTGACGAAAGGCTAAGTGCAACAGCTTCAGCTGGGTCTTGGCTTGCATCTACCTTGGAGACCTTTCCACAGTCCCAGAGCTGCTTCTTCCCAGTCACGAAGTATTTTGGGGTGCAGACGCACCGGTTCTCCTGCCCAGCCCTCTCCAGAGCCGCCTGGCTCGCTTCTACTTTTGCTTTTATAACCAGTGCTGCCGCGGCTAAGTTACCACACTTGTGTAGCAATGTCATCTTTGGTGGATTTGGGGACAGCCGTTTCTCAACCCGCAGCAATGGGTGAAAGCGCCTCTTGCCTCCTGCCCCGCCCCGCCCTTCCAGTCCCCTGGGTGCTGCCAGCTGGGGCCACTGGCCCACCTGACAACTCGGTCAGTGGCTCCTGAAACAGGCGTTAATCTTTTGAAGGCCGAGACTGCATCTTTACTGGGTGTGAGGGAGACCTGCAGTTCTGTTTCTGCAACCTTCTGTCCATGCCCTTTACTATCCACGCCCTAACTCAGCAGCGGTGGATTTCTCAGTCATGTGACTCAGACGAGGTCGAGAGTCACAGGGAGAAAAGCTCACTTTGATCCAGCATGTCTCTTGTGACATACGTACAGAGATTATTCTGGTTTAAAAAATGTTTTGCTAAAGTGAAATACATACACGTCCATGCCGTTCTATACATGTGGCTTGATGGATTTTCACCAAGACCCAGCAGCATCAAGAGTATTACCAGCACCCCAAAACCCCTCTCAATGCTCCCTTTCAGTTCTCACTTACAGATTCTTCTTTTCTGTAGCTTGACTGCCTGGCTCTATTGCTTGGCTTTAACACCATCTGGACGCTATCATACAGCTTAAATTGCAAAGCTGAGATGGAAGGCAAGTGATTTACTAATCTTGGGTCTTCAAAAGTTTGGAAAACCCACAGCCAAGGACTCTGCAGACTAGGAAAGAGACTGCCATCCTCGGGCTCCCTCTGCTGGCACTGAGGAGCTACTAGGGAAAGTTCGGGGGTGCCCTGAGTCCTGGGACTCCAGTTGCTGCCAATTTTACCGTTGCAGTTCTAACTCAGTGGGCAACTGTCTTTCTCTGCCAAGTGAGATGGCAGACTAGACCCACTCACTTGTTTCCTACCTTCAGGGGAGGGCTCTGTGCCAGGCCCCAAGGACTGCTAAGACCTTTCAGATTCTCACCTGGAAAATAAGGGTGGTCACACTCATCTCCTTGGAATGTGAGACTTAAGATGAGTTTTCTGACAAGAGAAAGTGCTAGTTTTTATTATTATCTCCCATGTAAATGCTGCCTTTGTCGTCCTGTTGACTGGATCCTGCTGTTGTATCAGAACAGGCAGTAACATCCATTTGGCCACTCAGACTCAAAAGCAGTGTCACGGCCCACTGTCTTCACCTCTTCTTACATCCAGCTTGTCACCAGAGCTCATCGCAACACGTCAGCCTTCTCTTAGATCACGGCCACCTCAGGCCAGGGTCATTGTGCCACCACCATGAAAGTAAATGTGGACTTTCTCTTTCACGGCTCCCAAGGTCTTTAAGATAAATCTCTCACCGCAGTCTTGAAGACCCTTCCTGCCCTGATTTCTGCACTTCAAATGTCCTTTGCCCAAAACTAAACTCTCAGCCTTCTCCAAACCTGCTGTCCCCGCCTTCCCTCCTTCCTGAATGGTGCCACCTACCGGCCACTCGTTCCCTCAGCCTGGCCACGCAGCTCACTGGCAGGCTCTGCCCTCCTACATCATCCTCTAGTCCTGGTCATTCTGGCCTTCGCTTTGGTGACTCTCGCATTTTCTGACTGGCCCCTCCTACGCTCCCCTCCACCCCAGCCACTTTCTAAGAGGCTACCAGAGCTACAGCTGTGCCCAGCATACACCTATTTTGCTTAAGAACAAAACCCAAGTTTCTTCACAGGATTCTGTTCTTGAGTTGCTCTGGGTCCTCTCCTGTCTCGCCTCGCCCTCTCCCACTTGCCACATCAACATCTGACTTTCAAAACCCAGCATGACAGAACCTCCCCTAGGGAGCCTTCTCTGAGACACCCCCTACACCCCAGGCTGGCCAAGGCAACCTTTCCGGCGGCCACAGGGTGTCCTGTGCCCCTGCTTAGGTGGTGCTGGCCAGTGAGCCCTAAAGGGAAGGGCTTCTGCAGCGCTGGGCAGGGCCGTCTCTGGAAAGCAGTGAGAACTGAGGACATGAACGGCCCCGCTGCTGCGCAGTGGGCCGCACTCTCTTCACTCTCCCGGCATTCCAGAATGACCAACACACATTCAATTCCTACTGCCTTGCTAACAAAGTATTTTGTTAACAGGATAATTGTGGCGATTAAAAATATTTAAGTAGCTTCTGGCACATAGAGAACATTCAATGTGACAAGTAATTAGAGTGCCAGGCAAGCGTTGAGCCCTGGGGATACAAAGTATTTTCATCAACTCTGGCATGCCATCATTTTAAGGAGTCACCGTTGATTGTCGGTATAATTAAGACACGTGCTCCAAATTAAACTACGGATTATAAGATGCACCCAGATTTTCAGAATGGGAAAATGTGCTTCAGTGGAAAAAAGCAGTTGAACAGGAGGCAAGTCTCTGACTGCAGGGAGCTTCTACTCTAGTGAGGGGGCTGATGGACAGTGAATGTGCATTGTAGGCAGTGGCAAGTGCTAAAATGAAAAGTCAAGGGGCAAAGAGAGGGGAGCTACTAGAAAGCCAGGGAAGCATCTCTGGGGCTGGGAGGGCAGCAGAGACCTGAACGAAGAGAGAACTGTAGGCAACCGACATTCCAAGCAGTGGGGACGTCACACAAGACCGAAGAGGAGACACAGGTGTCACCTGCTTTCCCAGCGCTTGTTACGTGACTTCACTTTTATGAAGTTTTACTCTAGTGCCTGCTTTCACCAGCAGACAGAAATCCAAAAGGGACGCTCACCTGGACAAAAAAGGGGAAAAGCAAAGGGAGAGTTCGGCTGGTTCTCAGGGGTCATGCGACAGGGGGCGCTGGCTCGCCCTGACTCCCTCATGTCTCTCAGCTCAGTTTCTGCTTCAGTTTATGTGCTGTTTGGTGGGTCATTTTCTGGGGTGTGGGAATGCCCATTTCCCCATCTAAATTAGGAATAACTGCTTCTTTGCTTAACGTCATTTTGCTTAAGGTTTCACAGGAGCACGCTACTGCCCAGTAGTGGGAACCTTGACGACCTGGTGAATTCAAGCAAGTGTAGCTGGAACACAGACCCAGACTGTGGAAAGTCAATTTCCTCGAAGGGTATTTCTCATCAGCATGTATCCTTGGTCCAGTGAGAGGGTGGAAGGGTGGCGGGGTTGAAGCTAAGTGGTGTAACTCGGTCACAGGAGGGTGACTATAGGGTCCGTCCAACTAGATTCGAGTCCCAGTTCTGTCACTTACAAGCTATGTAACGCTGGACAATGTTCTAAGCTTTAGTTTCCTTAGCTGTTAAATGGACAAAATAAAAGCACATGTCACAAGTTATACTGAGACTATCCTTAAAAATAATCATTACTGGCCCTCCCTGGTGGCGCAGTGGGTTAAAGCACAGCACTAAGAATCTGAAGCCACTTCCGCATGAGTTCGATTCCTGCCTGCCGCCTGCCCGGGAGGAGACCACATGGCGAGCCAGACCTCTCCTGACCCGCCCGCTGCTTCCCTCAGCAGTGTACTTCGTCGATCTGCCTGTTCTGCTCCCCACTCTGTCTCTGGTGAAGCCTCTCACCGCCCCTGAGCCTCTGGCCTGTACCCCAGTTCTGTATGAATAAATTAAATCTTTAAAAAAAAAAATAATCATTACTGTCATCGTTAACTTCAAAGTAATTTTAAAAATTGTATAAAAAATATCAGGAGTAAGTTAATTTAGTTGAGCTGTAAAACATAAGACTTCTCTTCCATATTACCAGCTGGTGGGCTGGCAGTGATACTACTGCGGAAACAAGTTTTTTTTTTTTGTTTTTTTTTTTTTAAGGATTTATTTGTGTATACAGAACTGGGAACTGGGGTACAGGCCAGAGGCTCAGGGGCGGTGAGAGGCTTCACTAGAGACAGAGTGGGGAGCAGAACAGGCAGATCGACGAAGTACACTGCTGAGGGGAGCAGGAGAGGTCTGCCACGCCATGGGGTCACCTCCGGGGCAGGCGGGAATCCAACTCATGCAGAAGCGGCTTTAGATTCTCAGTGTTGTGCTTTAACCTGCTGCGCCACCAGGGAGGGCCGGGAAACAAGTTTTTTAAGGCCTTGAATTTGCCTTTTCCAAGAGTTGTTTTAAAGTTTTCTTCCTTTATAAATTGTTTTTGCAGCATAATTTGGTGGAATGAACTCTCCCCTATCAAGCACTTACAAGATACATGTGGCAAGAAGGTACTGTTTGAGGAATTTTACAGCTTTCTGATAAGTTAATACCAAGCCAATTTCATGAATATAAATCTCACATATAAGTTCAGGGTTTACCATCAGGAAAGATCCCCTGTTGCTGGTGCAGGATGCAGGTCTGGCTGTTTCCCCAGATCATGTGTTCTGGAGCTTTTCTATCTTACCACACAGTGGGCCATGCCTACAGGTAATACCTTGAAATTCCAGGTCACCCCAGCTAGTGTGAGTGAACAGAGTTTGGCATTTCCAAGAGGTTCTTACCTTCCAAGTACTCCCTGAGTTACGAGCCACATTCTCTGAAAGCATCTGAATTTTTGATGGAGTCATGCTTATATAAAACAAAGCACTTTAAAGCTTTCTTAGTTTTCAGTATTTTAAACCATAATATAAGGTAAAACGATGAACTGTATTCCAAAATTGTATGGAGTCTGACACCTCCAGGAACTAAGTCAGACTCTGGGAATTTGTTACTTAGAAACAGTCCTTGTCCTTAATAAAGTGTGAATTTTATCTGAACCAACATTTTTCAAATGGTGGCTTAAAAACACACATTCGGTCTTGATGCAAGTCTAAAAGGCATCCTATTTTCCTCGTATTCTAATAAATGTTGAGAGATGGGGATGGTGACATCCTTTAAGCCTTGACTCACTCACTGGCACTGTGCGGCATAGCACAAGGGCGCCAGAAGAAGCTGTCCAAAATCTCTGAGCCCCAACCCTCCCCACCTGTAAAACCACAAGGCTATTAAATGAGAACATACCCGTGGCTACGTGAAGGGCAGTCATATTACCAGTATCACCAGATTCCATGCTGGAATGTTACAGTTAACAGGTGTTTCAGTCATGCCCTGTGGATTATTGTGCCTCTGGTACCAGCAAGGAGAATTTAAAATGGTTTAGCCAGGGTTGACTACATGCATTATGTTTAATATCTTATATAATGACTTACAGATTCCATTACCAGAAGAATCAGACATTCTAAGGTCTGGCTACAGTAATATAGATATATGGAACAATTTTCAGCAGCCTATCTCCTAAGGTGATTATAACTGAGGTACTGGGAGATTGCAGGGTGGAGGAGGGCGGAGATAATTTAGCTGCATCTAACAACCCTCAAACTAGAGTTGGGCCAGAACCAACTCCACTGAGGAAAGCCACCTTTTTTCCCATGAAGCTCTGAGATGTGCAGACATAGAGCCAGGGAGTGGTGAGTGGGAGAGGCAAACTGGATCAGCAAAGCCAGTCCCTGTGATGGAGGGGGTGACAGCTGTTGCACTTATCACCCTTTATCATTTCAGCAAGCAGCAGAGTCACACACAAGGAAAAATAGCTAAAAGTCAACTACTAAGGGAAACTGCCTCAAACCTCTTTGCAAAAGTGTGCATTTCTCCGTCGAGAGAGGCTATAGTTTTCACCATAGTCTCAGAATCCATGCTTGGATTAACACAAGATTCGATGAAACAGTCCAAGGTCCTCCCTTAACAGATCAATTGAAGCCCAGAGAGGGAACGGCGGCTGCTTTAGGAGGAACAACGAGGGTATCAAAAACGATGGCATTTCAGTTCCCACTCCAGCCCCAGAAGCACGATCTCTTCTCTGCAGGTCCTGGAAGGTCCCCGGGAGGCTCCGGCCAAGCGCTCAGACCCGGCTCGGTTGTCGCGAAGATTCCCCTCCCCTGGCTTCACCCGGCAGAATCCCCCGGTCGTGGGGACTCCAGCTAGAGCCCCACACTCAGGGCGACCTCGGTAAAGAGGAGGGGATAGCGGACCCGCCACCCCGCCTCCGCACTCACCTGACGCCGCGGAGGAAGCAGGCACGCCCCAGAGCCCGTGAAAGCGAACCTCCCGCGAAGGGAGGAGGGCGCGTAGAGAATAACAGGAAGTGACGTCAGGCGCACGTGCTTCCTAGAGGGGCGTGTGCGTACAGTTTGAGAGGCGCGGCAGCGGCCCCGCGCCTGCGCAGCCGCCGCCTGATGCGCCGCCGAGTCACTGGTGTGGGAGGAGCATGAACAGGGGGCGGGGCACGCGCCTGAGGGACGCAGGCGCAGTGCGACTCCGGAGGCGCGGGCCGCCCCCTCCGCGGGTTTGGATCCGGGTCAGTCAGGCGCGGCGTTCGGGGAGAGACGATCTGAACTGACGGGACTGGCTCACCGGAGCGCCCCAGCTGCGAGGAGGTGAGTGTCCCGACGCTGTGGGGAGGAGCCGCGGAGCCGCGT